CGACGACGTACCGTGCTTCGCAGCCGAATACGCCGTCTGCGCCATGAAAAGCGAAGGCGAGACGACGCCAAAGATGGAAGCCACGTTGATGATGGCTCCTCGACCGCGTCTCACTCCGAGGTCCCTAGTCACAAATTCACATCAATACCAAACTCACCAAGAGACACCCAAGCGAATAACGTCGGAAGAAAAGAAGGAAAGAAAAAAACATACTCCTGCTCCAACATAACCCTAATCTCCTCCCTCTGACACCTCCACACCCCATCTAAATCAACATCCACAATCCCGCCAAACTCCTCCTCGTCAACCTCGTGCGTCAGTTCCCCCTTACCCGCGATCCCCGCATTATTCACAGCCACATCGAGGCGCCCGAACCGCGATACCGTCTCCGCGATGCCGGCTTTTACTTCAGTCGCATCGCGGACGTTCAAGGGCAGTGTCAGGACCTCGGTGGAGGGATACTTCTCGCTGAGGAGCGACTTCGTGGCCTCGAGGGCTTGGGTGTTGATGTCGGTTATGGCGAGGCGGGTGATGCCGTTTCGGGCGAAGGCGAGGGCTGTTTTTTGGCCGATGCCTGTTGTTTTGTATTTTACGTCAATATTTCTCTGTTAATAAGAGGAATTGAGTAGGATGTGCGGGAAAATGATGAATGTAGGTCTTTCTAAGTAAATGAATGGGAGTCAAACGTACCAGAAGCCGCGCCAGTGATGAAAGCCGCACCACGGAGAAGAGACGCCATAATGCAATCTTGCTTGCTTCACTTTTACAAAACTCACATCTGACAACGGCGTTGAGTGCCTATATACGGGTTTATGAATGCTAATCCTGGGTGCCGACACTGGATGCGCGGATTACTGAGCGATCCGGAGTGTGCCAGCAATGCCAACTTATATGAAAAGTCCCAATGTAAATAAGTCCACGCACTTACACAGTACACCTAAACCAAACCCAAGAACGATTGATAAGACGGATGGACCGGTGAGACAAGCTGCTTCACTCCGCATACGCATCTCCATCTCATCATCTCATCGAGGAAACACGCGCAGCCACCTTTCCTCGGCGGTGACATCGTCTAAGAAAGCGAGGCGGGAAGATCGCGGAGAAGCATACCCAGCGTAGCTTCCCGCGCGGGTCTACCCACACCACGGGATGGACCGCTCCCCGCAGGCCGCAGGACAAAACAATACCCGGAGTGTTGGCACAAATTTAAGCTTCTATTGTTGGAGGTATCTGTCGAACCACCTCCTGTCACGTCATTCCCAAGTCCCCCTCTCTAATGAGGAGGTGGCATTGAGAGATCAAGATAGCGAAGGGTTGAGTGGGATGGAAGCTCCTTCGGTCAAGGATACTGTTGCGGCGCCCACCCGACGAGCACTCGCATTCCAAGTACGCCTTTATTTTTGGAAATGGTAGTTTGCTCCTTTGACGATATTCCCAAATGCTATCGCTGGACTATCAATTCGACTGAAATAAGGAGTCATTCGCCACCGGTAATCTCTTCTTAACCCATACTACCTGATAAAACGGATTTAACCAGCCCTTTCGCACCCGCTGTTCCAACTATGGAAAGGCAATGCTTGTGTCATGGGAATAACCCTCACAGCATACATTTACCAGCTTTTGGAAGTCAACACTCGTCGACTTTGTTTAGACCTTATGAAAGAAGTTCGACTCCAAGTCTCAGCATGCGGTCTGTTCAGCAGGCAGTACGTCCAAGTTGAACCCAGCCGGAGAAAAGATATGGAAACCCTCCACTGGCGACTCTGAAGTCAACGCAATTAAAGATGCCAGGTTCCATGCCCCGTCGTGCATAATGAGTTATACCGCCCTCCAACCCAGAGAACAATAAGGTGGAGTATCACGAGAATAACGCTTCCTCGTAAGCCCCAAGTCCAAGGCAATCCGCTGGACAGACGTCTCCCGGTTTCCCGCTCATATGGCGTTATCGGCCGCGTGCCGGCCCCGGCAAGCCCAAGATCAAGAGCAGCCAAAATCACCAATGGCGCCCCGACATTTGGGCTAACTACGTACGGCCAGCATGGGCGCGTCAGGCTGAGCATTTTGCTCAAAAAGAAGCCGAGACGCACAACCGCCAGTAGAGGTCCAGCATTGTAGCGCACAACCTGACCTGCTCGCAATCGGCTAATCATGAGTTTGTGCCGCAAGGCTTCCAAAGGTGTAGCAGGGGGTGGCATCAGGAGCGGGGGCGAGCTCAGAGGTTCATCTTTTAGGGAATCCACACTTTCATCTCGCTCTGGTGTCGTGCGGATAAAGCTATCCTGGCTGCGTTGGGCCACCATTACCTGCGCTTGCGGTCGTAGTCTCGGGGAGCTAGAGTCCGATTGTCTTCGTAGACCTGCCGGTATGTCCGAAGTGGGAGAGCCGCTGTCTGCTGCCCGGCTAGGGATGTTGTACCCTTCCTGGGACGAGGAGAACCTCGACTGCTTCTGTGGATCTGCGACCAAGTCAGTTTGATAGATAGCGTCATCTCTAAAGAGTAATGAGCCACAAACCTGGCACGGGTGTGCTTGGCGGCATTGGGGAGTCTAGACTCTGTATCCGGCGTCCGTTGATTCCCATGGACGGACTCGAACTCCTACCTCGAGGGACGCCGTCCATGGTCGACTCCGTTTTCATAGCCGATAGAACTTCGCTCGCGCTAGGCCGCTGCAACGGATCCAGTGCAAGAAGCTTCTTGAGAAGTTGGTACAACTTTGTCGGAAGATCTGGGCGTTCTCTGCGTTCGTCTTGGAAGCCTTGCCAATCTGTAATCTCCGCTCGTAACTCATCAATATCTTCGAGCTCTTCGTTGATGGTGTTGGCACTCCGGTATGGCAGACGACCGAAACACATAAAGTAGAGAATCATGCCAAGAGAGAAGATGTCGGACTTTGTGGTAAAATTGCCGTAACGCCCGGTCGTCAAGTCTCTCCTCAATACCTCTGGCGCGCAGTAAGAGATGGTTCCGGTGGATCCAGTCGACTTACGGACCATATTCTCAGATTGAACCTCGCCAAAGTCGCTGATCAGGCAGATTATGCCGCTACCCTCTCGATGCAGGAGACAGTTACTTGGCTTCAGGTCTCGATGAATGTAATTGGCAGCATGAAGGTATGCCAGTCCAGAGGTGATGTCTTTGAAGAGCGAGTAAATCTCCTCAAATGACAGCAATCTCTGCGAGGCGAACTGGTCGCGGGGCAATTCAAGCTGGCCTTTTGATTTCCGTCGCATCTGAGCTTTGAGCTGTTCCTTGGTCGTTTCCTTGGGTTGGTCCCCGATGATGTAGTTGAGCAGGTCACCACCATTACAGTATTGCTGTAGAATGAAAGCGCATGCCACGCTGGGACCGAAGCGTGTCAACTTGACGTCCTCGAGCCAGACATGACGGTAAGAGACCAAGTTTGGGTGAGAGAGCTTTGCGAGCAGCTCGACTTCGATGAGAACTGACAGGTTCAGGGTCAGCGTTTAGGACTGAACAAGAGTCGCACATGCATCCGTACCTTTTTCCAACCATGCGTGATCGTCGCCTACAGGCACGCGCTTACACGCAAAGTGACCTATCCATCATCAGTATCTCTGCCAGACAGTCGATTGCTCGGGCTCCATACCAAGTTGACAACCATCAATTTCGTGGCGGACGAGCAGCACCACGCCCTTGCCGCCACGCCCGAGCTCCTTCTCCTCAATGAAGAAGGTTTTGAAATAATTCGGACTAAAAGCATCGCGGCGGATGCGGCTGCCCTCCTGGACAGAAGGTGTACTAGAAACGAACTCGGCGTCTTCGGCTTCCTCGATTACGGCAGCCTGCGGGTGGGGTAAGCTTGGTTGCACAATGCGACGAATCGGGCTGGGCGGGGGATGATGGTCGGCGCGAGAGTCGTGGCCGCCGGCACGGAGCATGCGAAAGTAATTCGGGTCGACAAAGGAATCATGGTGGCGGGCGCTGTCGAATTGACGCTCGGGGGAGGATGATCGCAAAGGCTGGCGGCATGTCGGGCATTCGGACAGGCCACGGATCTCGAGTCTCTGGGAGGACGGGTCACGGACTACTATAGCGTTGCGGTGCCGCCTAGAGGAAAGCACTGTCAGCAAGATGCATTATCTGACCAAGAGGAAGCAAAATGAGGGTAGACCAACAGGACGATTTCGCGACCTTCGCGCGGGTGGTATGGGATCAGCGACATGGCCGGTCGATTTTGGTATGCTACGCTGGGGTCGTCGGACCGACACAAAGGTCTAGATCATGGCCCAAAAGAGGGCAGCTGCGATGCTTGTTTGTTCGCCAAGCGGAGAAGTTGCTTCGGCCGGGTGTCTTGTGACAGGTAAGCGGCATGGACTGCGAAGGTCGGCGTAGGCGTGTCGGAGGGAGTCGCGATGTTAGGTGAAGCTTCAAGGAGCTACAAAGGCAAGGCGAAGCTCCTGAGTGAGTCAAGACAAGGTGGTGGTCTAGGTGTCCAGGTGAGGATTCCTACTGCATAGGTGAGGTAAGGTGAGAAAGGTTGTTTTGTTGACATTGAATGACCTCACACTGTCTATGGAGCCACCCAAATACCCCACGTGCCCCGCCCCGGAGCGTTCGAACCGCTCTGCGGGGCGCCCATGACTGCCGGGCCAGAGGAACCCACACTGTGCCACAGGCACAGCCACAGAGCATCCAAGTAACTAAGCAATCACCCTTCACCAACCCTTTCAGTAACCAACTCACCTTCGTGTTTGCAATTGCTAAAACATGATCATGTTCCTGTTTGCTACACGAAACCATGGAAGTGTTCAAACATTTGATGATTTACAGTTTCAGCTAGGTATCATGCGATTTACTTTTGCAAGACAGCAATGTCACGATGATATTGCGCTGAGCTTATTCAGCTTCTCCAAGTTGTCAGGCAAACATACGATATCTGCAATGATGAGGTAGATGAGTCCTCTATACGTATCTGAGATCTCGCAATGCAAGATGAGATGTTTGTCTGCAGCTTCTACTTGAGACATGCCAAGCTGTCATGAGAAGTATCTGTATCCCTCCCGAAGACAATGCGACCCTCTGCCGGAGTTATATCCAGCTCACCATGTCTTCCCACATAGTCCCTAGGGATCGTTTCCAAAATGCACTACTAATTCTCTTTCTAAAACCTCGAGACTTGTGTCACAACCCGTCGTTGTATCAACTTATCAAGGGCCTCAGGACTTCGTCGACTAGTGAGCTTCTCCCCCCTGCCCAGTTAACGACGATCCTCTCCAACTCCATCACCACCAACCCCCGGTACCGTGGTGAATTGACCAGGGCAGTCTCCGTCGCGGTTACACTTGCTGGGCCAGCTCGGGCCCGTCACCAGGGGTTTGAAACAAATAGAGCCTACCTACGGCTACGGACACAGCTATGGGACCACCGCGGCATATTCGCAACGGGGCGGCACGGAATTCGTATTAAATCGCACCAACGAACCCTTCACCGCGACTCAAAACATCCCCAACCTGGCAACCCCCCTCAACCCCCGGCTCAACCTTGCCCGTCGTCCACTTCCAGGCTCTGCGCAACGGCAGTGTCTCTTCACCGCCGTGCTCAATTCCCGACAACGGAAAGGAAAGCGTGGATGTGTCAACGCAAGGTCTTCATCCACCACCGTTGTGGCCACAAGATCACCGAGCTCCTTGAGCAGTGCGAAACGTTCGAGTGTCCCGGCATTATGCAAAAACCCGTCATCAGCAACCGCTATACCTGCATTGTGCGGACTTGTTTGTGGTACGGCCAGTTTTGAAATGAACTGTGGTGAGAGAGTGAGTGAGACAGGAAGAGAAAATACCAGAGAGTTGGGGAGCATCTCCTGTGTAAGTGAACTACTTCACTATATCCTGCGATATGAGCCGAAAAACGACAGGTTTCTCACAATCGCGTCGACTAGTTCCAACCTTCGCATCCAGCTCATGCAATTAGATAGAACAGCATCACAAAGCCTCATCAGCCCAACATTATACTTCTACTTGATTCCAGCTACTAAAAGTCAACCCCTACCTCAACGTCCAATCCGAGTCCCATCCGTGCCTTGCATTAGCGACGTGCATCTCTAGTAGCGTCTTTTCAACACTAAAGCGATCCATCGCGCAAGTTTGTCTGATGGTCTAGGTCAAATACGGCAGCTCAACATCGGTTAGACATTAGAAAGGCCTGCCTCGTCGCTTCAAATGACCGTTTGGAAGTGAATGAGAGGCTTCATCTATTCACAATTTTGAGCAATGTTGATAGTTTAAACCAATTAAACTCCGAAAAGAGAGAGTGCTCTCTTCCCGATGGGTATCATATATGTCCAGTTCTGCCTAGCTCCTGTGGTATTTAACCCCTTCCCGGCTTTTCAATCACCTGAACACTCCTTTGCGCCCTAAGATACAAAAACACTGTACAAACTGAAGAACCAATCGTAAAATCAAAAGGTATCAGAAACGCCACCAATCAAGTGATGAAGACGACCAACGTGCCCGCACGCCAAGTGGGAAAAGGCCACCTCGCCGATGAGAGACACATCGTTCACGAGCGAAAAAGCCCTAGTGAATATCGCGATCATGCAAAATCTGCCACTTGCGATGATACAAATTAATATGCGCTCTCAAGGCGTCTGCCGACTCGTAGTTATCCGTCGTCCCCGTCGGCACACATAAACAGCACGCAAACATGTTCCTGTCCGAGTGCGACTTGGCCAGGAACCGGCTCGACATGCGGAAGCCGTCCTTGAGAACAATGTAGTCCTTGTTGCCGGGCAGCAGCGGGTTCCATCGGTACCCGCACTTGCACCGCTTCGGCGCGTCGGGGATCGGCTTGGAGAGGTCAACCTGGAGCGTCATGGCCTCTGGGCAGAACATGCTGAAGACGCTGACTTTGGGGCGGAGGAAGGCAGAGGCGGTAGTGCTGGTCGTGTCTGCTTCCGAGGGCGCGAAGATGGAGACGGCGTCGCTGGCGATGGCTTTTGGTGTTGGCGGCGTTGGTGGAGGCGAGGGCGGTTCTGATTGGAAGGGTGCCTGGTCGGTGCTGATGGTCATGGTCATCGACATGTCGTCGTCTTCCTCCTCCTCTTCATCTTCGTCGTCGTCATCTTCGTCTTGAGAGATGATGCTGTGGTTGTTGGTTGACGAGCTACTCGAGTATTGCGAGATGGGCCTCGTATGCCGCGAGCGGGGCTTTGAGATGGGAAGGTGCTCGGGGATGTCTGGGCGTCCGGCGGCGAGACGGTGATATAAGGCACCGAGGGCCTGGACTGAGGCGATTCTGACAGACTCGGATGTCTGTATGATATCTGAGATGTTGAGAATGCCGGTCAAGCTCGAGTCAGAAGAGACCCTGCGTAGGTGAGAAACCCGACTACTGAGGTTGAACAGCTGGTTGGAAAGCATATCCCGGCATGGTGCTGTTGAAGCTGTTAGCGTGGCTGCAGACAGATGGAAACGGGTTGCGACGTCGATGGGGTGGAAACTCACTATCGCCGGTGGAGAAATCGGTTCCAATAAGAACAGTCGCAATGTCATAAGTCTCCTCGATCTGATTCCTCGCAAGCTCCAACGAGATGCTCAAAGCACATGTAATGACATCCCTTCGAATACCGGATTCTGATGATTTCCGACAGTAGTGGTTTCCAAGTGTGCGTTTCCTCTTCCATTGGGTGTAATGCTCGGTGCCCTCGGCGTATAACTCTTTGAGAGACGACACAGCCTCATCGACTGTAGTTGCCTCCATTGTTGACCTGTCACTTTGATGGCATGATGGAGTGGTGACGAGAGTAGGTAGGATTTACGTGAAGGAACTAACTTAGTGTTGAAGGGAGTGAAAGTGACGAGAGGGAGAGAGAGGATCGTCTGGGAGGGAAGGGATTAAGAACGGCAGCCAACGGAAACCGAATCGGGAAAAGCAATGTTGGCGGGTGGCCGGCAATCAGCTGAATGGGTGACCAGGGCGAGCTGAAGCCTGAAGCCTAAAGGAAGGGAGGACGGGAGAGTTTTGAGGCCGGTGGGAAATGGCAAACAGAGTGCTTATCGGCAGATGGGGGGAACACGACTCAGAACAAGCTTCAAAGCGAGACAACAGATCGAGGAGTGGGTTACCAACAGGTTGGGGCCAAACGGGCGTGCGTGTGTGTCTGTTGATGAAGTGGGTTTTCTGGTTTCTTTGATGCTTTGACTCTCGAAGTATTCATAGGCAAGGAAGGTATGGAGACCGGATACATCATACAGCGTACAGAGTTGGTAGGGAACAAGAGTCTAGAGGGTGTGCTCGGGCTTCTTGGATCGACAGGAAAGCCAGGGAGGAAATGGGGGGGAGATAGATCGGGCGTGGAGCTACGGACACTAGAGCAGAGCAGATGGGCGGGCAAACTTTTTGAGCCAATGTGGCGTTGGCGGGCGTTGAGTTGGTGGACGCCAGGACGCCAATCTCACGACTCGAGGTGCAAGTCGTCCGAACGGGCGCACGGGAACTCGAGGGGGGCGGGTAGCCGACATGACATGAGGCATGGGACGGCTTTGGCGACCTAGGCGTACGGAGTACTGCGTAGAAGACGGAGTAGACAGGGGGGTTCAATGGGCATGGTCCATGGGCAAGGGACATGCAATGCCTGTCAAGTCGATTTTGGCCAGAGAGTCATGTGCAACGATCTTTTGGATGTGATTCTCGTCTCATCCCGCCGTCAGCCGGCGGATGGTGTGCATGCTGACGATGCTGCTGCAGCTGAGGTTTGGTTTGGTTTTCTTGGGGTCCTTCTTCTGGGGGTTGGTACTTGTTTTGGGGGTCGCAAATGAACGGAGAAAGAATCGAGAAGGGTGAGAGAGTGTTTGCTTTTGCTCGGAAGGGACCGGTAGAATTTTCCATGTTAGCAGCTCGCTAATGAGTAAAAACATACGGTCAAGTGAGTACTGTTAGTAAGAATAGGTAAAACAAGAGGAAATACCCCCGGGACGACTTGCTGTGCCAGGAACAGAGATGGCCAGGATGAATGCAGGGCAAGGCAGGCTGGGGCCATGGGAGCATGGGGCCAGGCCAAAGTCGCCAAACAAAAGTCGCTTCTATTCGTTGGGATAATACTATGCCACCGTATTGAAGGCGAGGCGAGTCGAGGCGAGTCGGAGGATCCCACGCGTGCGGTTCCAATTGGCAATCCGTTGCTGTTGGTGCTGCTGCTGTTGCTATGCCTGCCGGTGACTTCAAACAAACCACCCAATCCTTGATTCCGTGATGACAAGGTTAAGGTAAATGTGACAAGACAGAGAGAGAGAGACTGAGAGTTGGGAGTTTCGTCCGAATGACGACGACGTGACCGGGGTCCCGCCCATCCCGCAAAGAAGTCAAGAGTTCAGACGTGTCATTCGCGTCAAAGAAAGATGGGCTCAGATGGCACCGATGGCACCTTGGGGATCCAATGCGACCGCGCCGTCTGTGCTCAAGCTCAGGGTGGACACGCCGCACTTTGCACCATACTATGTACACAGTAATGAATGATGGCACATGGATCCTGACACCCATCAATCTATCAAACGGTCAGCAACCTTGCACCTTGTCCGGTTCGCAGAAACTCGACGGGAAATCCACGGCCAGTCCGGTTCAGTCCGATTCAGTTCTGTCTGCTGTCTGGTAATGTCCCTGTCATTGTTGACTGTTGACTGTCCTGAGGCAATATAGAGACACGAAAGAGAGTGATTGAGTGGGAAATGAGTCCATTGAAGAAAGGCTGAAGAGGAAATTAGCGTGCTGACTGGGCGGGCGCTACGCTTCCCAACTCCTACCTCAGTACGGAGTACTTAGGTACTTACTAAGGTAAGGTAGAGGTAAAGCAGCCTCTAGGTACGTACTCGCCTAACGCCGTCCACCGTCGGTCCATCCGGCGAGCCGGCCCCGAGCTGTGGGCCCCCGTCCTCGGTCTCCCGACATGGCGATTGGCCCACCACCGCAAGCCATCGCTAAAAGGTACTTTTGGATAGGTATCTCAGCCAAAGGGTCTCTCTACCTTAGCCTCTCGAGGCTTCCATTGGATCCTCCGCTGCGATCCTTCATCCTCTAAGCCGTCAACTCATTATCATCCAAGCCGCAAAGACAACCCGAGACAGGCACACGCTCCACGTCACATGCTAGCCCTTCAACATCACTGTCGTCCCGTCCGCATCGGACCGCCAAGCATCGTGGCACTTCTCCCCCTAAAGCTGCTTAAAGACAGCTAGCGTCCGGCTTGAGGCTTCCGCTGCCACGACCACCGCCGCCGCTCATTCACACAAGTGTACCTCCTACGTTCCTGGGCAAGCCACTTCTAGCCTACCTACATCCGGTCTACACAGTCTTATCAGCTCAGCTCAGCTCCACGCTTTCACATGGCCAAGCCTAAAAGCAAACAACGTGGCCTGACTAACATGCTTGGAGATCCGGAATAGTAAATCATCGCACAATGCCGCCTACTCGTACTCGTCAAACCCGTCAGAGCTGCGACCGGTGCCACGCCCACAAACTGCGTTGTCCAAAACAGCCTGGCAACGCCATTTGCAGCCGTTGCTCCAAGGCCGGAGCCGCATGCGTGTATAGCCCCGTGGGCACGCTGCCGGCCTACCGGGACTTGGCTGCAGGACTGGGTGATGATGCCCTGCCCCTTTCAAACGGTGCGACGGACTTGGACTGGGGCAACTTTTCTTTCGATGAGATCTTGGGCTTCTCGTCTGTTCAGCCTTGCGATTCAGCGTCATCTCGCCCTGATCAAGCACCACTAACACAAGCCCCGGCTAATCCTCGATCCCAATGCTTTGAAGAGCTTTCTTCTATTACGGCCACTCTAGATAGAGCCACGAGGGGCCTTCCCCCTATTGACAAGTTCCACGTCCCTGGCCCCGATTCCAAAAACTACTGTCTCGAGATATCCCAACAGTACAGTCACAAAGAGTCTCTCGAGCTCCTACTGGCCGAGACCCAAAAGCTGGTCGATGTATATCCCAAAGCCGTACAATATGCTCTGGAACAGCGCCCAAGCCCCGACTGCAGTGTGCCAAACTGCATACACACCTACAACTCCATCACCAGTCTCCCAGACGAGCCCTTTGCAAACTCGGCGCAGCTGACATCAAAGATCGACTATCCGCTACTAAACCTCCTTCTCTGCTGCCATTACCGATGTGCCGATGTCATGGAACTCGTCCTCTGCCACGTCCAGCTGTGTCTCAGGTTCCTCGCCGCGGCCATGCAGCAGGATGTCCAGCCTCACGAGTTTGACGTTCCAGAGCTCAAAATTGGCTCATTCACTCCGTCACGGCGATCGTCGCCTTCCATCATCATGGCGATTCTGGTCGATCTCCAGTCCTCCCTGGCCAGCTGTGTCCCGCGACTCAGCTCAGCGCTGAATGAGAGGGAAGGGGATTGTGGCAAGGAAGGCCGCATACTTTTGCTTCAATGCGAGCTACTTGCAGAGAGAGCAGATTCCATTGTAGACCGTCTGAAGAAGCTGAGAGATACTCTCAGCAATGCAGGGCTTCTTGCGTAGAGTCTATCGCGGCCAAGCGGGCATTAGTGTGTCCAACGACGTGAAGGTTTCACATTGGCCGCTTCTTATTGAAACCGAACATTAACACCAATCATATTGATAGGATGTTGAAGCTATTGGTCTAAGAGAAAGCACATACCCTTTCCCCGGGTCATCTTCCGTTCGTGCGTCGGCAGTTCTGGCGATGGCATGGATATCCCTCCATGAAAAGCATCACAACCCCTCCTCCTTAAACTTATCAATACCTCAAACACATATCACAGGTGACCTTAAGTTGATGCGAACCATGGAAAAATATCATTGTTATATATGCCGAGATGCATGGTCATATAGAAGTTGCTGTTCACTGGTTGATTGACTTTATCCGCCGGGTGTTTTATCAACGGTAGGTCAGCTTCCTTAAAGCGTTGCGTTGAAAGACTCTGGTTAATAACCACGATGAATGCAGCAGATGATCTCTATCTCAATGCCGAGCCGCTTCATTGTCTTGTTCAGTCCCTCGCGTATAAGACTTCGTTTTCTAGGAGTCATCCATCTTGTTTCTGGGGAATGGTTATCAATCAAACTTCCAGTATTTCTCTCATCTACAACGAGGGTTTGCGATAGTCTAAGCCATACTTCAGAGTCAACAATCAGCTCCAACTTTCACGATGAAATTCTCTGCAGCTGTCCTGGTACTGGCTTCTCTGGCATCGGCTCATTGTGCGTAGAATAGAACCTAACCTCATGTCAAAATCTTTGGACGCTACTAACAAGTATCAGACGTCTTCCCTTCCGTCACCTACAATGGCAAGACTACGAACGACTGGGAAGTCGTTCGCAAAACAACAAACTTCCAGTCCAACGGGCCCGTCACAGACGTGACTAGCTCGCAAATGACATGCTACCAGCTCGCGCCCGGCAACGAGGGAGCCACGGTTCTCGACGTCACAGCTGGCTCGACCATTGGTTCGTCTAATCTTCCTTACACTATACAAAACATACAGTCTCTACAAATACTAACACCAGATGAACCAGGGTACAACGCCAAAGCGTCCATTTCCCACCCCGGACCCATCAACTTCTACATGGCCAAGGCGCCCTCCGGCACAAGCATCACAAACTGGGACGGCTCCGGCAAGAACTGGTTCAAGATCTACAGCGACGGCCCCACTGTCACCTCAGGCGGCCTAACGTGGCCGACAAACGGTATGACAAGAATCCTCTCTCTTACAATGATTCTTATCCAGGAGGGATTTTATGCTGATGCCACCATTTCAAGGCAAGGCAACAGTCAACGTCCAGATCCCAAAGTGCATCGAGAACGGCGACTACTTCCTCCGCGTCGAGCACATCGCCCTCCACAGCGCCAGCAGCGTCGGAGGCGCCCAGCTGTACATCTCGTGCGCCCAGCTCCGCGTCACGGGCGCCACGGGCACGTACAAGCCGAACCTCATGTCGTTCCCCGGCGCCTACAGCCCCAATGATCCCGGCTTGGTTGTAAATATTTACTACCCTGTGCCGACCAACTACAAAGCTCCTGGGGGTGACGCTTTGACTTGCTGAGGGTTGTCTGAATCTTGGAAATGGGGGCGTGGATGAAGGCAGTCTGGGAATCCCTTGCGCTGGAATTGACGAGTGCTGGAAAGCACTATCCATCACGATAGCTCTCTAGCCCATCTTGCTTGTTTCCACGATTGCAATTCAAATCACATTCTCGATTGCGCTGCGCGTAGCTTGAGCGCACCCTTGCACAGCGCACTTCTCTCCGCTCAATCTCGTCACCCGTCCTTTGTTACATGTGATGAGAACAGGCTCCGAGCTTCACTTATCGATACATATAAAAAGACGGCCATATAAGCCGCTTCCCCTCGCGCTCGTTCCTCTTTCCCATACACCACGAGCACCCCAAAATGAGGAGCGATAATAGCAGTCACAGTCACAATCACACCCACAACAGGGTTGACAGCCGACGACCACTAAGATCGACTGCGGCCCGCAGTAGAAGCTCGCCCAGAGGGTAGCAGTCGAAACAGAGCTGTCACGAATGCCTCCGATTGCCACTCTGACGGCTAAAATTGAAGCTCCCTAGCTGTAAACCCGTTACAGCCTTCCATTTTCGGAAGATGCCCGTCCCCCAAAGTGGCGATGTAACCCCCACAAGGGATCACACGGAGGGGTGGTGAGCATCATTGACGATGCAGACAGGTTCAAATGCGGGGAAGGCTTACATGTTGGCAACCACGAAATCCATAGATCAATTGTGAAGTCGGTATCGCTTACTTACTCTATCGTCCAGAGGTCGGAACGTGGCGGTTGACGATTTTCAAAGAGCCACCTGCCCACTGACTCAAGCAGCACATTTGATGCGGAGATAACGGGACAACTCTCTATCATATATGTGGGTTTTGGGTCTCTCAGGAGATATAAGCCTTTTTGAAGTCTCCTACAAGTTGCAACTTACAAGGCAGGCCCCGGCAAGAAGCTGAGGCGCAAAAAAGCTTATGCAAGGGCCGGGGCCAGCAGCTGACATGCTCGCACCGCACGATCTGGTCTAGTGTTGACGACTCACACTCAAACTTCAGAGTAGCTCATTAAAGGACGGAAAAATTATCGCTCGCAGATTGGCGACTTTGCAAAGAAAGGAAAGAAAAGGGTGGTGTTCGTGTCAGTTTCGGCATCTGGAGTGCCGAGTTCGATATGATGGTTTAATGATGGGAAAGCCAGATTTGGCAGAGTCAGATAGACTTTGAGCTCTTTTAAATACCACGGGCAGAGAACTTTGCGCAAACGAGAGTTGATCAGATCTCGTCAGTTGTCTGATGGATCCAACTTTGTGAATAGAAACCATGCATTTCTCAGTTTCCAAATTGGTCTGCCTCTTGGCGGCAGCTCACGCAGCTGCGGCCGTCACTTACAGCGTGCCCGCTAAGGTGAACACTGGCAGTCTTTCATACGCTCCTCTCGAGGCAGCGCCCCTCGGTCTATCGTGAGTTTCACCGGGAATTCCTCCCCCATTCCTCCCAACCCCCCTCTAGGTCTTCTCCCCATCCCACAGTGTTGTGTGGGTTTCTGACTCTTATTGCCAAAAGCTTCGAGTTCTTCGCCTTCCCGGCGTACTTCAAAAACGTAACGGCAACGAACCAATGCCTCGCCAACCTCAAGGACCTGACGGGCACCTGGCCCCCGATCCGCATCGGCGGCACAACGCAGGATAGGGCGTCATACGACGCGGCGACGTCGGCGTACGTCGTCTACTCGGTCGCCAACGCCGCCGACGCGCCAGCCTCGCTGACGTTCGGGCCCAACTTTATGAAGCTGGCGGCGACATACGCCGGCGACGTCACGCTCGGTCTGAACAGGGGAAAGAACAACATCGATAACACTATTGCGGCTGCCAAGGTTGCTGTGCAGGAGATGAAGAATCTCTATGCCATTGAGGTCGGCAATGAGCCCGAGTGTAAGTGAAAATTGCCAAGCCTTTTCTTATTACGAAGCCAAACTGAACTTTGGTTTGTAGATTGGTCGGGAGTCCAGCCCATTGCTGCGGGAGGGTGGAGTCCCGCGCTGGATGCTGCGTCGCAGAACCACTGGGATATCACTGTCGGCAATGCCATTGGCAAGAAGAACATTATCCAAGCCGGCAACTCCAACTCTCTTCCTCCGACTTGGGGAGCTGAGGAGCTCATCGCCAGCGGGAACGCGACGGTCAGAGAGTATGTGAAGACATACGCACATCACAACTACCCCGGAGGGTCTGTGACTGGTTTAATGTCTCATTCGAGCATCTCAAGCAATGTTCACTTGTAAGTTGATCGCGTATTGGCACCTGACAGGCTCCTTGACTGACGTGACCAGGTTCGACAAAGACATTGCTAGTGCGCTCGCAGTCAACAAGCCTTACGTCTTTGGAGAGACAAACTCTGGTAAGTTGCATAGACACTCTCACACTTTTGGTCTCCTACGGAACTGAAGCTAACGACCGAATAAAGTCGCGGGAGGCGGCGCAGCCAACGTATCCCCAACCTTTGGCGCAGCCCTCTGGGTCATGGACTACACCGTCCGCCTGGCAATGTCCAAAGTCAGCAGAGTCTACTTCCACCACGGCACGATCGGCAACAACCCCTACGCCTTCTTCGGCCGCTATTCCAACGGCAACCCGTACGTCGGCGCCTACGCCGCAACGGCCTTCATGGCCGGCGGAAAGCATCTGGCCGCCCTCGACGACGGGAAATCTGCCCTGGCTGCCTACGTCACCTACGACGCAGCCGGCGCGCCGCTGCGCGCTCTGCTGTACAACTCCAACTACTACAGCGGCACGGGGACTCGGGGAACCGAGTCGTTTGTACTTAGTGGGCTGACGACGGCGGCGGGCCGGGTTCGGAGTAAGCGCGTGACTGCTGCCAGCGCGGAGGCGAGGCAGGATCGCGGCGGAAATGCGTCCTTTGGACAGCAGTTCTTCAACAATGGCACTTGCACGATTGGCGGGACGGAGACGTTTGAGACGACGACGGTCTCGGGTGGCCAGGCTACGTTCAGTGTGAAAGCCAGCGAGGCCCTTCTCGTCTACCTGCAATGAGTTCGATATATGCTCCGAGATCTCAAGAAAATCCGATGGCCACAAGGATGAGAGATGATATGAGGTCTTTGGTATAGCGTCGAGTGCTTGTAGTTGTTCTTGTAAGTGGAAAGGGAGGAAGAAGGAAGCGGGGATAACTCACTAACTCGGACTTCCCGATACATACCCCGTTAATTGAATTGGCCGTCCAGGTATTCTTTTATGCAAGCATAAGTGATGGTGAAACTTTTCATCCTGTTTCCAGGCCCATACACAAGTAGATCAACATCAAACAAGTGGAAGGAGAATAATTAGAAACGACGCTCCTCCAAGCATTTCACATGCTAATCACCTAGTTTGCCAATCGCGACTGAAGAAGCTGAGGTAAGTGATGCAGCAAAGCCAAGCGCTATGCTTTAGTCTCTCATCTCAACGTCATTGCTCTCTATCTCTGTTCCTCTCTCCAAATTCCTTCAGCCTTAACGGAAGTACATCCCAGTCGAGTCCACCCCAACCCGTCTTGGCACTGTCAAGGCAGCTCTTCCCATGTCAGTCTGTTAAGCCTCCTTCACTGCACTTACTACGTCGTCGCTCTCAAAAGACAACCTCTCTAGCTGCACCTCTAAGCAGTTTCATGACTATTACCTCAATATTATCACGACATCATCTTCTTTCACTTCTTTTCTCGCCAGCCTCTTGTCGGCTGAGCTCAATAAACCTGCATCGCTCTGCATCGACTGACTCTAGAGTACAGCTCATATACCGTGAAGAAACATACACATACGTCACACAGTAGACCTCACAATGGCCGATAAATACATCCTCCGTGTGACTGCAGGACCAGGCTATGATCTGGACTGTCAAACAGAAGTCCCCGTCAACCAGGCCAAGCCCACAAAGATCACCAGCGCCCTCGCCGACATTGAGCTCAACGTCAGGATACAAAACTACGCCGGCCTCCCTCGCAACTCACCCTCTACCTCACCCTACTTCTCTGAGGAACCGCACGCCACCAATAAAGACCAGTACAGCATCTCTTTCCGCTTCACGCCCAAGGAGCCTGCAAATGCCTCCTCATCGGCGGACGGTATATCGGCCGAGGACCTGCAATTTGGCAACGACTTTGACCACCCCATCCGCGACCGTCTCCCACCGGGCTTCAACACAGCACTCAACATTGTAAAGTGGTGGATCGACCCCGGTCTGGACGGCGACGCCTACGCCGATGTCCCTCATCTCTACGGCCCCGCGCTAAGCTCCTTCAACACCATCCACGTTGGTTCTGGCGTCCACGACGAAGAAAAGGGCGGGCTATGGTTCGAGGAGGGAGGCGACGAGGCCGGCCTCGAAGCACGAGAGAGGATTGGCGCGCCGGCCACGTCCAAGGAGCGCATGAAGTGGGCACTCCGCAAGGACAGCAAGGAGAACTGGCTGTTTGAGTACGGCAAGACGTACGGTTTGGACTTTTTCAATGCCTACCTCGACTTTGCCAACCTGGCGTTGCGCTTGCCCGGTTACCAACTTGCCATCATGAAGTACTGGGACGGACAAGGCCTTCGGTGAGTTTCTGCTCCTCCCTTTTCCTATCTTTAAACCTGTTCTTTGCTTCTCTGCGAGTCGAACTGTTTCCGTAATATTATTCCCATCTCGCGCCATGGCCGTCATTTCCGACTTGTGCTATTGACCTTGGGAGGGAAAATGATGTAATAGCAACACGAAGACCCTGAGGTGGCTTATCAAAGCACGGCTCAAAAATGCTCTCCTGTTTTCTTTTCATGTCATTCTTACCAGCAGCAGGGAGGGGGAGCCTAAGCGCTCACATACGCTTAGATACGTTCTCCGGAACAAGACCACCGGCGACGTCTACCTCGTCGTCCTCTTCGAGATCCACCTCAAGGACGACGTGAACGAAGACGGCACGCTGAAGACCAGTGCCAGGGGCGTCAAGACTGGTGCACTACCGCCGCCGGCCAAGGACGACCACGAGCCTCACGACGAGGCCAAGGCG